CAAATCATTTAGGTGTCATTTGGTAAGGTTTCATTTCGATTTATTTCCCCCAGATATGATATGATTCTGTCAAACAATGCAAAAACAAGAAAACACAAAAACAATGTTTAGTAGGACTGCCACTGCTTTTTATTATATTTAAAAACCAAAGATGTATGCTTTTTTTTTTCTTTTTTTTTTTTGGCAACAGTTGTTTTTGTTTTCAGTTATATGTAATACCAAACTCTTAACAGACTAGACGCAAAACTGTATTATAACCACCTGCACAAAATTTTTCAATTCATTTGTTTTATAAGTCAGGTTTTTTTACTTCGCCAAGTTATATTTTGATTCTATGAACCTATTCTCAGGTCTATAAGGAGATGAATCGAGTCAATTTAATTTCAAGACTCAATACCAAACTGTACATTTTGTGATTCACGTAGGCGGTCACTACTGGAAATTATGGAATTTCCGACCACCTGAAAGTGATCTTAAATCAAATCGAAAGCAAAAAGTGGTCGGAAATAGCTATAAAGGTTTTTCCGGACACCAAAAGTGGTCGGAATAAGACTTTCGACTTGATTTAAGATCATTTTCAGGTGGTCGAAAATTTCATAATTTTCAGCAGAGGGTAGCGTTGGAGTAACAATTTTAATCTAGGAAGAGTGAATTTAAATGTTTTTAAATAAAGAGATGAAATTTCACATAATTATATATATTCAAAATAGTTAATGAGAGAATTAAAAAAAAAAAAAAAAAAAAAAAAAAAAAAAAAAAAAAAAAAAAAAAAACTCAAATACCAATAAAGTTCGGAAGAAAAAAACAAATTGGAAGAGTTTTGGAGACATCTTTGTTTATAAAATGTTGGTTTGTACTAATATACATTTAAATATGCTCTCAGTTTTTATGTTATATGGAATATGTTGTTAGAAAGTTATTTCTAATTTGTACGCCAAACTAATGCCTCTTTAGCAATTAAAGTGGTGCATACATCATATATATATACTAGTCTCATTACCCCAATAATGGAATTTCAAAAGGAAATTAATTGGCTCTCAACAAGTGATGTAGCTAACATGCTAATCCATAATTTTATCCAGTCCTATAAGGGTTTATAGAATAAAGATTAGGAAGTTCAGGTTACTCACATCTTCTAAAAACAAAATAAGGTGATGAACTTTTTTGCAAAAAAAAAAATTGTGTTGCATTTTTGTGGTTTGAAGTTGATTGAGAGCCCATCAGCCTCTGTTTAAGATCTTATGGAAGGACAAGATTGGTCTCATGGATCATAGGAATGTGCCCAACACTTGTCATTAATTCTACTCCTAGGGTTGCCCTTCCCCGTCCATTAAAAAATTAATAAATTTTCAACATGTAGATAGGAATGAGAATATATTCTAATTCGCCCAACACATATTCACCTGAACATTCCTCGCACTTTTTAGGTGATATTAAGTGATGTGGTCGATGTGAGTCTTAAAATATTAAACATGTACTCAGTTGGGTTGAATGTAGATTTTATATGCAAAAATCCACATAGAACCCAATCCCAACCCACCATGTTATCATTATTAGGACTATATTATTAGTATTAGACTTGGACTACCTTATTCGTGTTAGACTAGGATTATATCTAGTATCTATATATTCGCTCTCTGTACTCTCAGGTTGATTATTCAATACAACACAATTATATTCTCATCTGGTATCAGTTATCCAGGTTTTCTCTCATGGAAACCCTCGGTGATGACGGCTCTGTTCTTGGATCTTCTGAAAGGACCGTTACCGACGTTCCGCCAGTGTCCGCCAGTAATAGTCTTTCCTCGGCACATCACTTCGTCTCCCTGAAATTAACTTCCCAAAATTATTTATTCTGAAGAACTCAGATGCTACCGTTCCTCGAAAGCCAAGGGCTTCTTTGTTTTATTGATGGCACCGTGCCGTTTCCGGCGACTGTCTCCACGACCACCTCGACTGCCGACAGCTCCGGCGCGGCGGCTACGGACCTCTCGACACGGCAGACTTCTTGGCGGCGACAGGACAAGGCCATCCTTTCGATGCTTATCTCGTCCTTGTCCGAGGAGACTCTGCGTCTCGCGGTAGGCTGAAGCACATCACGGCAGCTATGACAGACCATTGAGCAAACCCTAGGCTCATCGACACGGTCTCGGGCCCTACGGCTGCTCGGCGAGCTACAAGCGCTACGGCAAAGTGATTCTTCCATCTCCGACTATCTTGACCGTGCGTAGATGTTGGTTCATGAGTTGGCTCTCGCCGGTCGTCAGGTTGAGTTAGACGACCAAAATTTATATGTCTTCCGTGGTCTGCGCCCTGAGTTTCGGCCATTGGTTGCGACCCTGGCGCGTGGAGCTCCTGTTCCGCTAACGGAGGTAGTGGACTTTCTAGTATCGCAAGAGTGGATCTGCCCCAATGATGGCGTCCCTATTGGTGCGCCGGCCGCTATGGTTGTCAACCATGGAGGCCACGGTGGCCGGGGGCGGTGGTTCTCAGCAGCGTGGAGGAGGAGGCCATGGTCGAGGGAACCGTGGCCGTGGCCGAGGCGATCTGGTTCGGGCCCTCGATGTCAGATTTGTAATAAGCAAGGTCACTCTGCTATTTCCTGTTGGCAGCGTTTTATGCATGATTCCCCGGCTCCTCAGGCACATGTGGCTGTTTCTGGTGATGATGGTTCTGCAGATTTCCGGACACTGGTGCTACGAATCGTGCCACCCCTGATTCTTCCTTGCTGACATCTGCGACAGGTTATGATGGTCCGGAGACACTCCGAGTCGGCAGTGGTACAGGTTTGCCCATTGTTAATGTTGGTTCCGCTTCGTTAGCTACTGATTCTAGGTCCTTTAGGATGAGTGATGTCTTGCATGTCCCTGGTTTATCTTCTTCGTTATTATCTGTTCAGCGTTTTGCTAAAGATAATAATGTTTTCTTTGAGTTTCACCCTTCGTGTTTCTTTGTGAATGACACTATCACCAAGAAAATTCAATTTAAAGGGCATGCATCGGGGGGTCTCTATTCTTGGCCTACTTCGCGTCCAGCTCCAGCTACTTTTGTTGCCGCTCGATCGTCTTTTGTTTGGCACATGCGTCTCGGGCACCCTCACTTTTAGGGTCTTCGTCTCTTAGTACTTTTAATTCCAATGATCTTCCCAATATTTGTTCGTCTTGTCAATTGGGAAAATCATATCGCTTTCCTTTATCTTGTGTTGTAACCACTAGTACGCAACCTTTAGAATTAATATATTCTGATAGTTGGGGCCCTGCGCCCTTAATCTCTGCGAATGGCTTTAAATATTTTGTTTTGTTTGTGGATGATTACACTATATATATGTGGTATTATCCTATGCGCGCTAAATCTGAGTTATATGCCATATTTGATAAGTTTCGGTCACTTTTTGAAAGATCATTTTCCCGCAAAATTCTTTCTTTTCAATCTGATTTAGGGGGAGAGTATAGAAAGCTTGGCTCCACTCTGGCATCTCTTGGTATTCGTCACAGGCAATACTGTGCGTATACTCATGAGCAAAATGGGAGGGTGGAGCGCAGGCATCGGCATGTGGTTGAGACAGGTCTTGCCTTAATGGCTCAGGCATCTGTCCCGTCTCGTTTCAGGGATTATGCGTTTGAAACCGTTGTGTACCTGATAAATAAAATTCTCACTCGTGTCTTGTCTGATAAATCTCCACATTATCTATTACATCGTTCCCCTCCATCCTATTCTTATCGCCGGGTATTTGGGTGTCTATGCTTCCCCAACTTGCGTCCATATAACCGCAACAAACTACAGTTTCATTCTTCTCCCTGTGTCTTTCTTGGATATCCTCCGTCTTTTCGTGGCTATCGTTGTTTGGACACTAACACTAACAAGGTTTATATCTGTCGCCATGTGCGATTTGATGAGACTGTTTTTCCGTTTGTTGCTCGTGTTGATTCGCTGGTTTTCACACCGATCCCGGAACCGTGGGCCGTTGCACCTATTTTTGCCAATGATGATGCGGTCCGGTCACATGACCATATTGCCAAGCCGCTTGCTGATCCGCCAACTGCACCCGCTGTCGTGCCCAGCCAGCCCAGTCCTAAGACCTTGGCCGAGTCCGAGCACACTGTCATGGAGCAGCCGACTACTCGATCGCGTGGCCGTCCGCGCGGTCGGTCTCGTCATCCCGTTTCACCAACTCGTGCTCGGTCTCACGGTATGGCTATACGCAGCACGGGGCCACATGATCATGTTGCACTGTCCGCTGATGTTACTACTGAGCCCACGTGCTACCCTCAAGCGGTCAAATATTCTGAGTGGCGTGATGCAATGGACTTGGAATTTAATGCCCTGGTGCATAACAATACATGGCAACTTGTTCCTTATAAATCAGGTATGAATGTGGTTGGTTCCAAGTGGGTGTTTAGAACCAAAAGGAAAGCTGATGGTTCAATTGAGCGTCACAAGGCTCGATTAGTTGGCAAGGGTTTTAATCAGGTGGCTGGTGAGGACTACTTTGAGACTTTCAGTCCCATGGTTAAACCGACTACGGTACGTCTTCTGTTATCTTTAGCAGTTTCTCGTGGATGGACTATTCTACAGTTGGATATCCACAATGCTTTTTTGAATGGCAACTTGGCTAAGACAGTTTATATGCGCCAACCGCCTGGCTATGAGGACAAATCTATGCCTGGGCATGTGTGTCTACTTCAACGTTCTCTGTATGGTCTCAAACAAGCCCATCGTGCATGGTTCACACGTTTGCATGATTTTCTGGTTTCTATGGGCTTCTCGCCTTCCAAAACCGATGTCTCTTTGTTTATTTACTCACGTGGCAATATTCAGCTTTATTTTTTGGTTTATGTGGATGACATTTTGGTTATGGGTTCTGATTCAACTCATGTGGCTGCTCTTATTAACAAATTGGCTCTTGAATTTAAAGTTCGTGATATGGGTGTGCCTTCCTTTTTTTGGGTATTGAGACTGTTCCGGTGTCTGGAGGCATGCTTCTGCCTCAGCAACGGTATATGAAGGATATTCTCAAGCGAGCAGGTATGGTGGATTGCAAGCCCGTTGCCACGCTAGTTTCCACCACAAAAGTCGTGACAGGTGATGAGGTTCCATATGCTGACCCCACTCAGTACCGCAGCCTTGCAGGTGCTCTGCAGTATCTTACGGTAACCCGTCCTGATCTCTCTTATGCTGTTAATCGTTTGTGTCAGCACATGAACTCTCCTACTACGGCGGACTGGGCGGCTCTAAAGAGAGTTTTACGGTATGTGAATGGGACACTCAATCTTGGTCTCAATATTTCCTCTTCTACCTCTCTGGATATTCATGCATATTCTGATTCGGATTGGGCTGGCAATCCGGATGACCGAAAGTCAACTAGTGGTTTCGCAGTGTTTCTGGGTAGCAATCTTGTTTCATGGGTATGTCGAAAACAGCGCACCGTGGCTCATTCCTCAACTGAAGCTGAGTACAAAGGGCTGGCTGACGTTTCTGCAGAAGTTACTTGGCTTGTTTCTCTGATGAAGGAAATTGATTTTGCACCATCTTCTGCGCCTAAGCTCTGGTTTGACAACCTTGGAGCCACTTATTTATGTGCTAATCCGGTGTTTCATGCTTGCACGAAGCACATTGAGATCGACTATCACTTTGTTCGTGACAAAGTAGCAAAGAAGGAGTTGCAAGTTCATTTTATTTATACCAAAGATCAGATAGCAGACATTTTTACTAAACCTCTTTCGTCCTTACGTTTTAATTTATTCCGTCGCAAGCTCAATATTTTGGCTAGCTAACCTTGTGTTTGAGGGGGAGTATTAGGACTATATTATTAGTATTAGACTGGACTACCTTATTCGTGTTAGACTAGAATTCTATCTAGTATCTATATATTCTCTCTCTATACTCTCAGATTGATTATTCAATACAACACAATTATATTTTCATCATCATTAAGGAGTGTAGTTTTTATTGTTGATAGTAAAATAAGTAGTTGTATGTAGTTAATTCTAAAATCTTTACAACTCAAATTAAAGATTTTTACTATTTTTACTTCTAAATTGATATGTTTATTTGGAAAAAAAAAAAAAAAAAAAAAAAACAATTTAGTAATTACATTTGAATTTTTTTTTTTTAGAGCACATTTCAATACTTTTATTCTTTTATATTTTAATATAACTAGTGAATTTTTTTTATGTATAAATAATTTAAATATTATTATTAATTTTTAAAATTTTTAATAAAAGAATAAGGGGGTATCCGCATCTAGTGAGGCAAGGGTGGATTTTAAAAAGTTGACTTGCTAGGGGTCAAGAATGGAATGAGTGAAAAAGAATGTATAAAGGTGGATCGTGTAGGGCAATTTATATCCTACACCACGGCGCGTGTTGCACTGTGCGCTCAGATGCAAAACGACGTCGTTTTAATTTTTTTTTAAAAAAAAAATTTCCCGCCCCAGTGAATGGCAGTAATTTTTTCGTTAAAAAAATCCGCTGTTCAAAAATGTACATAATGTTATACTAGAATACACATAATTGTATACATGAATGTACATAATTATATAACAAAATATACATACTCTTTTTAAAAGACAATACACATAATCTAACATAATACATAATAAACATAAACTTTTAACATAATACACATCAACTCTTAACATAATACACACAAATTTTCTGATTCGGATGTACATAATTGTATAAAAAGAATGTACATAATTGTATAAAAAATGTACATAACTGTATGAACAAATACACATAATGGTGTGAACAAATACACATAATCACAGCAACTTCCTACCGCGCCTCCCAAAACGACGTCGTTTTGAGAGGCCCGCGGCGAACAGTGCTACGCGCGCCGTGGTGTAGGATATAACGATTGATCATGTAGTGAATGTAGACACCGGCAAATTATATTGTGGACTATGGCCTACATTAATAAATTTTATTTTTAGTATACTGGACTTTAATTTTTAATATACTTTGAAAGAAGTAAAAGTTCATTTTTAATATACTGAAAGTTCATTTTTAATTAATATACCAATTAATCTTTCAGTACAAAAAAAAAAACAAAACAAAACAAAACAAAAAAAAAAACAAAAAAAACAAAAAACAAAAAAAAAACAAAACAAAATCAAAAAAAAAAAAAAAAAAAGCATTCAAAAAATGAACATTTAATGTATTAAAAATGAATATTATATCATAAGCTCACATTGCAAGATGAATCACGATCAATGGTATAATGATTGGTAGGTACCCCTGACCCATTGTTATCCCTTGAATTGCCGGCAATGGCAAACTTTAGAGAGTAGCTAAAAGGCATTCAATCATGGGCAAATTATGAATGGGTTCATAATTATGAGTATATAGTTCAAAACTTATGAACATATGATTTTATAATTATGAATATAGATTTGTGAACATAATTATGAATATATAATTCTATAATTATGAATATAGGTATTCAATAATTGTGAATATGAAGTTCAAAAATTATGAATATATAGTTTTCTAATTATGAACATATAGTTCACTAATTATGAACATAGAGTTCTGTAAATGTGAATATAGAGTTCAATAATTATGAATATGAAGTTAGAAAATTATGAATATATAGTTTTATAATTATGAACATATAGTTCAGTAATTATAACATAGGTGGACACGGTTCCACAGCATAACGATTGTTCAATCGTTATGCTATGGACCCGTGTCCAGCATACATTGTAGACACGGAACGGTGCCGTAAGTAGCACCGTTATCTTCCACCATTTTTTTAAAAAAAATTCAGACCGCTTCGTTATAAGAGCATATGTTCATAATTTTATCACTATATGTTATAATTGTAAGTTCATAATGTTATAGCTATGTGTTCATAATTCCATAATTGTACATTCATAATTTCATAACTATACATTCATAATTCCGTAACTGTACGTTCATAATTCAATAACTGTAAATTCATAATTTTTTAAGCTCTATGTTCACAATTTTAGAGCTCTATGTTCATAATTTTATCACTATATGTTCATAATTGTAAGTTCATAATGTCATAGCCCTGTGTTCATAATTTCATAATTGTACATTCATAATTCCATATCTGTACATTCATAATTTCATAACTGTACATTCATAATTCAATAACTGTACATTCATAATTCAATAACTGTACATTCATAATTTTCGAAGCTCTATGCTCACAATTTTAGAGCTCTATGTTCATTATTTTATCACTATATGTTCATAATTGTAAGTTCATAATGTCAGAGCTCTGTGTTCATAATTCCATAACTGTACATTCATAATTCCACAAACGAATAACGCCGTTAACGCTTTAACGGCGAAACAAAATCAATTTTTTTTTAATTAGAATGCCGTCGTTTTCTCTGAAAACGACGTCGTTTTGGACTCGTGTCCACAATGCATAGTGGACACGAGTCCACAGCATAATTTGCCACGATTTTCAATCAGGCCATTGGGCATTTGGGCTGTCAAAACGATTGCCATGCGTTCCTGGATTTTCATGTTCAGCCCATTGGATTGTTACAGTTGAAGCCTGTTCTTGCATACGTAAAGCCCAAAATTAAATTCAGGGCCTTACTTTATGTTTTTTAAACTCCACGAAATTACTCCATTTAAATTTCTTTGGGCCCTCAAAGCCCCTTATTTGATACATTCTTATATCAATACTTATTGCGTGGACCACGATCTAAAAATGACATCGTTTTGTGTAATTTTTTTTACACAATTCACTGCCACATACATTTTTATAATTCATAATGTACATTATTCTAAAGCATAATGTACATTATTCTAAAGCATAATGTACATTATTCTAACTCATAAAGTACATTATCTTCCCCATAAGTTTCATTATTCAAACACATAATGCACATTATTCTAAAACATAAAGTACATTATTCTAACACATAATGCACATTATTCTAACATATAAAGTACATTATTCTAACTCATAAAATTCAACGACATTGTTTTGAACTGTGGTCCACACAGCTGTGTGAAACACGGTCCACAAAATAGGCATCTCGAGCTGAACAAAATAAACTTAATACATCTTATACTAAGGTAACTAAGCATCGAATTTGTTTATGTTACTGAATTATAAAGTCTTTAGCACAAATATCATGGGCATGACATGTTGACATATGACAACATGAATACATGATTGAACAAAACTAAAATGGTGCAAAAGACCTTTATCTTTTAAAATAATGCTTTTCTTTTTCAAAATGAAAAAGTATTAAATATGTAACTGTACTTGTTAGATTTGTATAATTGAATCACTAAGCTAAGAATGTGTATAATTACTAAATTACTAAATCAAACAAGTAAAAAGTTGTGCAATACTCTTTATTCACTAGTTACGTAAACAAGTTATTAACGTGGCATTTACTTTTTCATGTACGGAGTATGAATTTTTCGTTGATGTGGATTTTCGATGGGCATAACTATGTGCATGAAACACTACAAAGATTTTTAAAAAGATTGTTTAAATTGGTTATCCTAGCTTGAAGAGTAGTCTTTTTCAATACGATATTTGGACCAACGAATCATTGTATCATCCTTTTCCATCCTTCCGCACCCGTGATGATAAATATAAAATAATTGAACAAGTTAAGTGTATTTGTTATTTGATGATTTATTTTTTTTCATTGTAATATCACCAACAAAGTTACATTATCTAGCTTTGTTATACATATTAATCTTTTTAATCTAATAGATATGGGTTGTTTGGTAAATAGCTATTTGTTGATTGGTTTAGTGGGTTTGACTAGGTGATAGCATTAGCTGATTGTAGAAAGATGTTTGGTAAATTAGCTGTTAGTTGATAACTAATTACATACAAAATGACTTTCTAAAAAAGTTGTTTTGAGTACGTAGCTTTTTGAATTTTTTCTAGTGTTTTGGAGCAATAAGCTGTTACAAAAAGCTAATTAATCAAACACTCATAATCTCATATTGGTTGTTTAACCAAGTTAAATAGTTAATAGTGGTCAAACAAGCTAAAATTGACTGATAAACTAACTATTTTACCAAATAGGGCCATACAATTTCATTTTCACTGAGCTTTTTAGAAAAAAAAAAATTGTGTTTTTAATCTCTCAATTATCTAGCATTGGTAATTTTTTTTATTTTTTTTAGCCATTGCAAAATACACTCCAAACTTTACAACAAGCTAAGGTTACAATTTTTATCGCTTGTGTAGCAAAAACAAAATAATAATAATAATAATAATAATAATAATAATAATAATAATAATAATAATAATAATAATAATAATAATAATAATAATAATAATAATAATAAACAAAACAATAACAAAAAGTAAACATCCATTAAAAATGTACATCAATATGTAATTTTTATCCAAAAAAAATGTTAATTAGATATAAAATATTAACCAAATCACAATTGAAGCACACGATTTGGTTATTCATGGAATGAAAATAACATTTTTTTTTATAAAGCTAAATATGTATTTGGTAACAATCAAAAGAAATCACTACCCTTAAAAAAAAAATCACTAAAAAAAAATTAAAAAAAAAAAAAGAGTAAAAACACATAGACCCTGTTTGGTAATTGGTTGTTGGTTGTTAGCTGATTGTGTTAATTAGATGGTATAACTAGTTGATAACATTAGCTATTGTAGAAAAGTGTTTGTTAATAAACTGTTAGCTGATAGCTATTTGATATAATTTCTTAGAAAAGCTAATTGAAAAAGTTGTTTGAATTAACTTTTTAAATTTTAGCATTTTGAAGTTGTAAAAAGCTAATTAATCAAATATTTATATTGATATTTAACTAAATTAAACAATTAATAGTGACCAAAAAAATCAAAATTAACCTATAAATCAATTTTTTACCAAACAGGGCCATAATTTCAATAGCATCCACGTAATGATTATTCTCGTCTCTGGGACAATGCACGGGAGAAATCATGGTGGATCACTAAGATTATTATGCTCAATTATATTACAATATTCTTGTTTGAATATTCTTCACTTTTATTGTATGTTTAAATTTCTCTTGCTGTTCATACAGACAAATCTTAATGATAATACATAATTCTTTCAACTGGAAAAAAATATCCTCAGCTCAGCTCGATTATCTCTTCTCCAAACGTGCATGATTAGACGTGTGAACACTCTAATCTAATGGAGTAATGAATGTTTAGCCTTTGGTCCCAGCAAAAGTCAATTAGGATAATAATGTTCCTTGGCACTTTCACCAACAGCTATAAGTGACCTTCCTTTGATGCAATCATAGGTTCCCAATATGTATAAAGTTCATGTGGGGTGCCCAACATTGTTCCCCCTGGAATAATGACACATCCACTAAATTACAATCAACAATTTGCTTAATTGCTCCCCCCTTAGCCTCCACCGTATATGCTCACCTAGCTTAGCTTCCTCTCTAATCTTGCTTCCTTTTTCCACTTTTTTATATAAATTATTGGGATGGCAAGACCTAGCCGGAGTCTTGACACCAGCCATGTACGTTAGAGATCGATCTATATCGAAGTAATTTTGGACGGAGATACCGTATTAGTTTAGCTAGGGTCGTCCTTCTGTTTAAATTGGTAGATTTCTCCAATCGTAAGAATGGTTGCAGTAGGCGCTAGGCGCTAGTCGCGCGCCCAGGCAGTCCCTAGTGTCTAGGCGGACTAGGCGGCGGTGCTAGGCCGGCGTAAAAAAAATAGTGGGAGACTTACAGTTTGACAATTTTAATGAGGCTGTTTTCAACATTTAATCAAATAACACATCCAAATAAATGAAATAATGATAATTCACAAGTCATAACATCAAAATAATATTAAAAAATAAAAATACTCAAATACTTCAATCATCCAAAGATTCAAAGTATCAAACTAGTCTACGGACGGTTGGACCAGACGACATCAGACGAAATCGGTCAAAATCGGAAGAAATCGACCGACTCGACCGAGTTGGCCAATTTTGCCGCCTAGCCGGCCGTCTATGCGCCTGGTCGATTTTTGAGCGTCTAATAGTGAAAGCGGAACGGCCTAGGGGCGCCTAGGCGCCACCTAGACCGATTTTTACAACCGTGATCGTAACTCGTAAGAAATATGTAATCAGAGTATTTAACTCAAAAATTGTATAGTCAAACCATTATACTCTACAAAGTAATCTATGCAACTCACCGATAAAAGGTGCAAAGTTCATGTTGTTTTTTTTTTTTTTTTTTTTTTGTTTTTTGGTATGTAAACCTCCAAATTTCTTGTCAGATAAATGAGGATATGGTGTTAGAGGTTAAAAACAAGTAAATATAACAATAGTACAAGCTTTTTTTTGTTTTTTTTTTTTTTTTTGATATGTAAACCTCCAAATTTCTTGTCAGATAAATGAGAATATGGTGTTAGAGGTTAAAAACAAGTAAATATAATAATAGTACAAGCTTAATGGATCGTTGGTGGGCAACTTCTAGAATATAACAATAGTCAAGGGACTAATCTAGATTCGCCCAAAAAAATTTTAACCTGACACACAAGTTCTTTACAAAAGTCGAATTTTTGACCTTATAAATGCATTAGTAGTCCGTTTATCAATTACTTGAATTGTTGGGTTCCTTATAGTATTTTTCAGTTTTCACTATGTTAGAGATATATATTAAGAAGGAAATATGAAACAGTTGAAGAGGAGTGGGAGTGGGAGAGGAAAAAAAAAGGCATGATGATGTATGCATATCTCTGAGTGTATGGACCATCCAAGCAGTGGAAGCCACAAAATATATAATAGGGTGTAAAAGGGGAAAAAGTTAAAAATATAATATGAAAATTAATTAAGAAAAGAAAGAGGAGGACATTGAAAAGAGGCATGGAGTTTAGTGCTTAGAGAACCACTTTTTGAATTTGCCAACCCATGCCCATGCATTCTGTTCTTCCTAGCTTTAATTTTAAAATAACTCCAATTTGCTCACCTCAATTCAATCCTCAACCATTGGATCCATCACCTTAACCATTTTTAATATCTACTTTGAATACTCCCACTATTTGTTTATACTCTCCTAGATATAGATTTCCCTTATATTATTATATTATAATTTGCATTGATTAACTACAACGTAACATTAAAAAAAAAAAAATGAGTCTCATTTAAAATTATTATCAACACATTGAGATGGGTGAAGATATTCTTTATATTTATATAAAAAAAAATAGAATGTGAAATATATATTACTTTTTAATGAAATTATAATACTTCTGTATTTATTCATAAAAGAATATTAAATTTTATTTTAAAAAATAATACATGACATGTGAGAGTTTCATATAAATTTTTTGTAAAATCAAAAATAGAGAACAGAGAGTAAACAATTTAAAAACTAAATAAAGAAAAATAGAGAATTGAAGTAAATACACTTTGAGTCATACTTGTGTGAGACCGTCTCACGGATTCTTTCCGTGAGATGGGTCGAAACAGACAGGTCAGGTTAATATGCATATATGTAATACTTATACTAGCAAATGTAATACTAAATTAAGAATAAAATGGTTGTTACTTATAAGAAAAAATATAATACTTTTTGAGAATAAATGTAATATTTTTATATTTTGATGTAAAAGTATTACTTTTTTCGTCAAAAATATTATATTTTTCCTTATAAGTAATGTTGCACTTATAAAGGAAAATCGAAAATGCAATACTTTTACATTTTAATGTAAAAGTATTACATTTTTTATGTAAAAGTATTACATTTTCTCATATAAGTAATAAACGTTTTATTCCTAATTTAGTATTACATTTGCTAGTATAAGCATTACATTTCATCTTGACCAGACTCGTCTCAACGACAAGGATCCATCGTGAGACAATCTCACACAAGTTTTTGCCATGCATTTTACATCTTTATGAAAGTCCCTTGTATTAGGGTTGGGGTTCAACCTTTTGGAAAAATGAAAGTCTCTTGTATTATAGAAGGAAAACATTTCACACTCTTACAATTATTACTCTTAAATTTTAAAAATATTATTTATTTTCATGAATTAATGATAAATAAACTGATTCCACCTTGAATTAATAAGAAATTTATGTATTCTATAAAAATGATACATCAAGATATCTCAATTCTAGTTGTAGAAGTGAAAATATGAATATGTATATTACAATATGAATACCTACTATATATATCATAGGAAAGTTTAGCTAAAATTGTATGGGTGACGTCACTCTCCTTTTTCAAGATCCCCACATGTTTTTTTTTTTTAAAAATTAACTAGTATTTTCACTGCCAAACACATTGTGCTCAGATGACATGTAGTGACACCTCTCATATGGGAGGTTATGAGATTAATCTCAATAGGGGCGTTGTTGACTCTTACTCTTTGTGTTTCAATAGGTTGAGAAAGTATTTTTGAACAGATACTACAATGTAATAGAGTCAGTAGCATTCAAAAAAAAAAAAATTGTTTATGTATTTTGATGTTATCATTGCTTGAATTTGTGATGAATTGATATCCTAATTCATTTGTATGGAAGATATATTTTTTGTCTAGATATATAGCAATTTTCCATTTAAAAAAAACATAATATCACCGAATATATTTACACATTATTGAAAACTCTTTGTAGACAACATTGGTAGTGACAACACAATCTTGTACATCCTCGTATAGAGCTAACACCTTCAGTTCATCAGGACGGATTACTCGGATGAAAATATATAATGGTAGAATAGACTCAATTAGTGATCCTTTTATATTTTCAGTCAATTAGTAATATCATATTCATTTTCGGTCAATTATTCTTTTTTATTTTCAATCAATTAATCAATTAAAATATCAAATGCAGTGATATTTTTACCTAATATTTGTTGCATTTTAAATTGATGATGTAGATAATATTATTGAAATATTTTTGTTCTATTTTAAATTTACCTTTACTGTTGTTTAAAATATGCTTTTACTATTGATTATGTAGAATATTATTATTGAAATATTTTTGTCCCAATTTTTAATTTCCATTCCATTTCTAATTAAAATGTAATAATCTAACAATTTTTTATATTATTCAATTATGAATATTTTGTATTTGCAGTCAATTATTAATATTTATTTCCTTTTAAATGACACATCAAGATATCTCAATTGTAGTTGTAGAAGTGAAAATAAGAATACGTATATTACAACATGAATACCTACTATATATATCTTAGAAAAGTTTAGCTAAAATTGTATGGGTGACGTCACTCTCCTTTTTCAAGATCCCCACATGGTTTTCTTTTTTTAAATTAATCAATTAATTAGGATTGTTTAGTGCGTTTTGGTGCATTTTCAAGGGCTAAGCTTTGGCTTAAAAGGATTGAGGAATGGTCAAACTTATCTCCCTTTCTCTTTAACAGATTTCTTTAGATTCTAATCTCTTTCCCACCTCTTTCTCCGTGTCATCAACCAAAATTCATTGAATGTCAAACAAATGTTCATTACGCTCACAAAAACACATATATTGTACTCTTTGTTTCTTCTACATACATAATAATTGTTTTTAGATTTAAGGAAACTTCTCTAGTGCTAGCTTCTCAACACTCCACACTGCAACCACAACACTTTGTAACACATGATTTTTTTTTTTAATATTGTATTAACATCTGTATCTTGTAATATTTGTCATATCTCACTGAATAAAACTATTTGTATTGATATCTGCGTCTCACAATATCCATATCATCAAGTGAAACTATTTGTATTACTATAGAGAAGAATATAACTTCTACTAAAACATTGAATCCTCAACTCCAAGTGCTCTACGCTCTGACCCTGCAGAGTATTTGAAAAAATGTAAATAATCATAACTCAATAGCTCAGTAGACAGGTCAAATGTCCGTGTGTACAAGAAATCTACTCAGTTTGCTGGGCATAATCCTCACAATACTAATGCTTAAATATGAATAAAACTATTTCAGTTGAAAATAAATTAAAGCACCAACAATTGGACGCTGAGTTGCCCTAACTTACACTTCTACTATCTTGTCGGAATTGAGTATAGGACCTTGAGAGCGAGCAAATTTTGCCTTGAGCAAATTAAACCACGACTTTGTTGGTGAGGGCTTAGATTCTTTAGACTAAAAATGTTTGAGAAAGTATAGATGAGATAATATTGTAAAGAGTATTTCAAAAAAAGAAAAAAATTAAAGCAAATCCATGGAGAAGAGATTGAAGATTTTGAGGTAAATTGTGATTAGGATTTAGGAATTGTTAAAATGAAATGAAATGAAATGAATTGAATTGAATTTCTTTCCTTTCTAGTACTAGTGATAGTACTCTATTGTTGTTAACAAAACTGCTTTTGATTTACAAGATCGACTTTGAACAATTATGAAACCTCCATCCATGGCTATCCATCTTCAGAGTTTCCAATATCGATTTTTTTTTTTTTAAGGGGGGGTTTAAATACAGAAAATAATGAATAATCAAAATGGCATGATGTGAATAGTCTTGGTATCATAGGTGGAGAGACTTGTAGCCGCCTTGGAGTTGACCCTAAACACCTTGAGCAAATCTCCGGCCATTTGCCGGACGGCCGGGGAACAATTGCTCTGCATTATGAGTAGAATCTTGGGCATCCCGTTGCTCTTCGCCACCGCGTCTTGCGCCCTGTGGTCTCTGAACAGGCAGCACAAGCTCCATAGAATCGTGACGCCGTGCTCCGTCGCTTCCGTCGATACCTTCAGCACCTTCTTCACGATCGACTGTAAGCAAACCTTGTCCTGGCAGATCTCAGATCTCCCGTCTTTGCACGTCGACAGCAATTCCAGCAGCCGGAGTACTTTCTCCGTCAGCGTCGCCCCCATTTCTGGAGCTTCCGATAACGCCTTCCCCAGCAGCCCTACTGCCCCGTTTCGGGCTAGCCGTGCCCGATTTTTCCGGAGCATTGCTAGCGATATCAAGCAAGAAATCGCCGCTTCTGCGGATTCAGCGTCCCACTCGGAATCCACTACTAACAATCTCGATAACGCCGAATACAAATCCGCGATCTCGGAGAAGAAATTCTTCGCTTCGGAATCCACGGCGAGAATAAGGTCTAATAGTTTGGAAGCGGATATTCGCAGTAGCTTTGAATTCCCTTGTCTCAGCCCTAGAATCAGCGCCGGGGAAATGTCGTTTCCGGCGCCGATTTTCGGCAACGCCTCTAATCTCTCCTTATCGTTAAGTTGATCCAACAGCATTACACAAAGCGGGATAGTCTTCTCGATTAGCCGGATATTTTGAGAGTGATGAACCAGGACGGAAATGAGGAATGCAACCAAATCGAAATCCTTAGATACCAGGAATTTCCGGTTTTCATCGGATTCCTTGGCGAAAACGACGAGTTTGGATATATGATCGTGAGTGTGTTCAGTAAAGTTGTTCTTGAGGAGGTGTATGAGGTGGCGGGCTTGTTCCCGGGTTAGCGAGTTGGGAGCGGCGGCGGAGCGGCGAGTTTGGACCGATTCCGACCAGATCTGGATGAGACGTTGGAGGGTGTGGTTAGGGACGAGATCCTTACTGTGAAGAACCTGCATGGTGGCCGGACAGGTGTTGTTGCCGCTGTCCAACCACCGCTGAATGCTGCTCCGGTCGTACGTAACCCCGGTGGAGAGGCTCACAGGGGATTTCATCACGTCCAGCGAGATGGGGCACCGGAAAAGGCTGGGCACACTTATGTACAGATCGTCCCTCATATTTGATCGCCGGACTCACTGAGTTGGGGAGCGATTTGTGGAGGTGGACACAGAGAGAGAGAGAGAGAGAGAGAATGGAGATGGAGTAAATGGGAAATGATGGAATTTAAGAAGGAAAGAGTCAAAGGAGGGAGGGGTGACGTCAGAGGCAATTACTTTTAAGAAGTAATTTATTCCTTCTTTTGGGGGTTTGGTCTTCGGTCAATGAAAGGTTTGGTTCTCTCTCTTTCTTTGGTGTATTGCACTGTCCTTTAGGTTTTGTTTATTCAATGCACAAAAGCCTTGTTTGGGTGTGTTGCTGTTGGCTTCTCCTTTGCTTTTGTGTGTTTCACTCCATTCCTTCCGTCTCCCAAACCAATTTCTCTTTTCATTTTTGGAAAAATTGCACCTTTAGTCCCTAAGTTTTAACCAAGTTCCTATTTGGTCCCTAAGATATGAACGTATCGGAGTTTAGTCCCTCAGTTATTTGCGAAGTGGCGTGTTTAGTCCCCGGTGTTAAAATTCTGTCAACACTTAACTGAAAACTTACAAGTAAATTAATAATTGAAGGGTAAAATTGGAATTTCAAATTATAATCATTTCTTATATCCAAACCCTCATACAACCTCATTCATTTCTTCTTTCTTCTACAATCTAAGGTGTTCTTCTTCCCTAAATTTTGAAATCTGAAATTCTTTTTCCCCAAGTTATGTTTGATTTAAATTAAATTTTCTTTCGAGTTGAATTAAAATATACTCTCAATTGAAAGTAGAAATGAATAAAGATAAAGAAGTACATATAATACATATGTATACTGCGAAATGAAGTAGGACAATTCCAATTTATACCAAAAATATTTATATTAATAGATGTTTAGCACAAGTTATAGCTACAATGATCAATCTTTTACATGTTCAACTTACCTTTCCAACAAAACATGGTCAGCACATGTTATACCTACACTAGACTATATTTGACACGTTATACTGACATTTCAAACAAAAGCAATGACAACACCCTAGTTTGATATACAAAAGACCACAAAAAGAAGTTCATCACTGTCAATCATTCAGTTTGATACACAAAACACCACAAAACGAGGATCATCACAGATTCCTGACAAATTCATCCTACTTCTTTCTCAGTTTTTGCTTGGGGTGGAGTTGTTTCC